TTTTTCTTTCTCTGTTTTGTCTGGGACAGCTCAACTGACTGTTAATGAAACTAATGCACCTCAAACGGAGATCAACTGCTGAAACTTTTCTTTGTGAGAAATACTAAAAGGGCAACTTAGTTCAGACTCCAGAGCCCTCTGTGCTCCATTGTTACATGAATCCATATGGCATCAGAGAGTGTACATTAGGGCGGGTAACTCAATGAGTTTGAGTTAAGTGAGTGAAATTAGTTTATTGCCTAATATTTTAAGTTTGTTAGTATTGAGTTACATTGTTTTCAGCTAAAATACATTCTTGATGAATGGCTTGGGATTTTTAGCTCAGTGGTGGTTTTGGAAATCTGACTGATGCCTGATAGGGTTCCTTCCTCACACCATAGCCAACTGAAGACATTTTCAGACATGATCTGATTAATATGTTTGAAGCATTATGCAGGCATATAGCAATAAGGGGTGGAGGAACTAGTTCAAAGAAACAACAGAGATGACCTGAGTATCAGTTTTCTAGGCTATTCAAATCAAACCTGGATTTTTGTATTCACATGTACACAGTGCAGGATAAAAGCATTTATTTTACTTTATTTCCTCAAGATATATACACTTCCCAATTAAAACTGCTCAACAATAAACTCTGTTCCCTTGGTTCCCTTCTGTTCACCAGTCTGCATCTAGAATTCAGCTCCTCATCTCAAAGACGCTGCTTTCTCTCTTACTCTTGCTGTACACTAAAAAAAAAAAAAAATCACAGCATAATACCTGTATTCTCCTTACAGCACAAACCATTAACTGACAAGCTACCTTGTCTCCAGGGGGTTGCAGTCTCATGAATTTTGACTAACATTGCCCCTCTTCCTTTCATAACAGTATCCTGCTTCAGACTGTACAAGGTGACAATTCCTACACTCCACAGTGAAAAAGAAATATGCTATTCTGCATTCATCCCACCATGTCTTCATGTCTAATGCTTGAATTTTTGCCTGTCAGGAACAGGAACTTTCTTTGGTCTGTGCTTGCACAGAACAGGATGCAGTTAACATTGGTTCTCTCCTTTGAACATCTAAATGCCACCAGCATGCAAATGAATCAATATATGAACAAGCAATGATTGATGTGTATTATTTATTTGTTTACAACAATACAACTGTGTAACCAATGTAGCCTATCTATTGGCTTGCATAATACCCAGCTTTCTAAGATGTCTTCCTTGTTCATAACTACCCACTTAGTCTTTTGGTAAGTGTTTTTAGTCTCTTCAAACAATCAGAACTTGTTCTCGGAAAGCATTTAAAACTGTCTGCTCTCTGGGGGGTTTAGTTGGGGCTCAACAGAAAGTCATATGGTGAATGTTCTCTTCTTGTCCGAATTACTCATGCATGAAAACATGCAATTCCTTCCCCACAAATACTTTTGTATGCAATTCTGATATTTGTCTTTTGGCCAGTAAAAGTCAATCTCACGCATTTGCAGACAGCAGTCCAAAGGGACTTGTGTTTGGCCAGAGCACATTTATCAAGGCAAAGAAATTATATTCATGGATAATTTGCAGTGTTTGAAGACCTCTGCAAGTTATGCTTTTCCACTACATCTATTTGCCATTTGCCATTAGTAGACATGGCTACAGGAAACACGTGACTCTCAATGTATGTCTATCAGTGAAAGGTAGGAGCCAAAAAGATGTTAAGTGTGGGAAGGTGAAAGTAACAGTGCACTGCACTGAGGGAACAAAACAAAAAGTGTGAGGAAAAGAAAGGAAGAAGAAGAAACTGGAACTTAAATTCATATAGTCATGCAGACTAAAAAGTACTCACCATCATGGGATTAAAAGAGGAGAATTAGGAAATAAATTACAGTGAGGTTTGTATGGGAATGAACTATAAAAGGAGCTTGTATGTGAAACACATGGGAATTACTGCATCAGAACACATTGGGATCAACTAATTTAGTGCTAAAATGAGTAAAAAGAACCTTTTAGGCTAGTCAGGCTATTTGTATCCTCATTATTCCCATTTGTTTGCATTCATTCTGAAAATACTAGCACCTTCTCCCAGTAAAACTTCATTTTATAGCCAGAGAGGGAAAAAAAAAAAGAGTTGTAATAGATCTCACCAGCTTTAATGACACACCAGCAGCTGGAAACAAACAAAAAAAACCCTATTCATCCATTTTATCTTGTTCTGTGTAGCCATTCCAGAACCATGTCCTTGCTTCTGTGTGATAGCAGCGACTTAACTGACTAACATCCTGTCTCTGACCTCAGCTTCTTGAGCAAAGTCATTGAGGCATCTGTGACGAGCATACCCCGTCATCATGTGGTCTTTGCCCTAACTCCCTCGGCCACAGACGTCTATTCAACATGGAAATGGCAAAGGCTGACCAAGCTAACTCTCTCTTCATGGCCGCGGAGAAAAGATTAGCAGCACTGTTGGTAACTGCTGGGTCTGCTGCTAGACTTCAAAAGCCAATGCCGTGAAAGCTGAACTCCAAAGCAATGCCTGAGCAGCAATGGGGAGTCATACAATACAAGAGAGCATTTTCAATATTTCTTAACAGTAAATACAAACATATTTACTTTCCCTTCACTTTCCCAAAATGTTTTTGTTGTTACCTCCTTCTGCACTCCCTGGCTGGACACAGCTAGCCATAAGAACAGAGCCTGGCTTGGTTTCTTGTGCAATTATTCTGTTGTTCAAAGGGGAACACAAGTTTCTCTCTGTGTAATAAGGGACAGTGACAGTAGGGAAGATAAGTTGCCTGGAGATTAAGTTGGAAAGCTTCATTTCCCCATTCCAGCAGAAACAGAAGGAAAACTTTTAGCTTAATTCTCAGTTTCCTGTCTTGTCACCATAATCCATCCCTTAAAACTATTTTAACCTAATGTTTTATGTGTGAATTTCCTCTTTTTTTTTTTTTTAAATGTTAAATTAATCTCCCTGCAAAGGAGTATGAAAGTGAATGGGACAGACTTTTGTGGATACTGAGGAGTATATAGTGGTGGATTTCAGAACATTAAAAAAAATGGCTCTCAGACATAGACATACAAATCCCAAGGGCACGGGTAGAATGGGAACATAGGTTCCATCTGCCTGCATTGGTTTTGAAGGTATTGTCTACTGAGTGTAAAACAGGCTAGAATATAGTCTGTGACTTGCTCAAAAAGAAGAAAAAAAACCACCTTTATGCACATTGCAGGAAAAAAAAGAAAGAAAAAGATTCATGATTGTGAATGAATTCTTGCGGTGCACAGTATTTTTCAAGTATGGTTTGGCTTAGATCCCATAAAATAAGAATTGACAGTAAAATACGTGAGTAGTTTGTTCTAAAGTATTTACTACACAGGAACAGCAGGCATTTCTCAAAGAGAAATGTCTTGTCCAATCTGAAGAGATTGCCAAATTGCTATAAGCAAATACACAACATCATTATCACCTCAAAAAAACAGTTTCACAGTTCCAAAATTACAGCTCGGTCCTATATTTTCAGCTCTGGCAAAATTAGCTTTGGTAGAAAAAAAAGGACTCTTCCCCCAGTTACAGTGGGCTAATGAGAGGCTGTGTTTCAAGCTGTGCCACTGTGCAGGAGCAGAAGCAATCATGGACATTTTGGACATAGATTCTAAGCAATAAGGGAATCCATAAATAGCTTGCCTTGGCTGCTCCCCTGAGGCAGATACACCTCTCTACCTCTTCAAGGCACTGCCTGACACAAGGAGGAGGAGGAGGTGACATCTACCCCATAGGTTCCCATAAATCAGTACATCTAGCCAGTTCTTGGGTGAGGAGGAGGCACCTGTAGCTATCTGGTTCATAAGATCCTCCTTCTAACATTATTTCCCTTCTTATGAGGTATATCTCCAGTGAACAAGCCAACCTTCAAAAGGATTACAAGCTCCAAACATGTTTAACATTTCTGTAAGTAATCTGAAGCAACCCAAGTGACCATTTAACAATGAATCAGTAAGTTACTACGTGGTACCAGCAGCTCATGCTGGCTCACAGATGTTCACATAGGGCGCAGCTGCTCCACCTGTTCCACTCATCCTCAAGAGGGGTGAAAACTTGCTTTTGAGTTGGGAGGGAGGGGAGAAATAGAAGGGATGGGGAAATGGGAAGGATGGAGAGAATAGAAGGGATGGGGAAAAGGAAATATTCCATTGACACTCCTGTGCCAACCAGAGTAACTGCACTGGTGACAGAGCAAGTAACTTCCCTGCTGCAAGAAGGGGGAAAAAGGGAACAATGGAACAACAATGCCTACTGGGCAGAATTTGTGTAAATTATTATTTCATAGCCGCCTTAAGCATCTCCCATTCTTAACATGTGGGATGCCATTCACTAGGTGCCATGATGGGGACCAAGTCCAACAATCTGGCTCGCATGGAGGGGCAGTTCTGCTGGCACTCTTGCTTACTGGGTGAAACCAAAAGTAGTTTCCCTTGGCTGCCACGCAGTGTTGTGGTCTTTCTCCCATGCTCTGTGAGACAGATGCAGATGGCAGGATCAGGCCACGTTGTTCAGCCAGAGCTGAACAGAAAGAGTTCAGGGTGGGAGAGAGGCCACAGCGCTGCAATTGCAAGAGTTACGGTCTTACCTGTAAGGAAGCATGAAATAGCAATCGGTTTGGAGGAATCCCGTGGTTGAAGTATGAAACCTGGCTGCCTGATACCTAACAAACAACTCCCACCATGACATATTTTATGATAGATCTTTTTGTTCTGAGCTCCACATGCAACCCCTCATCTTGGCAGCTCTTTCAGCAGAACCGAGAGAGAATGTGCCTTCCCATCCAGCCCACCCTGTCCTCTCTAGATCACACAAAGTGCATTTTTTGAGCAGCATTAGGACTTTATTTACTCCAGGAAAGGGCACAGCTCTCTCCAGCCCAAAGAACACCACATCAATGGGAGTTTTGGTGAAGCCTGCAATCAAGGCCTGGGAATTCAGATGTGAGTTATTAAACAAGCACAATACCAATCTCATATTATGACGATGATAACGTGGTACCTTTTCCTTCCTTCTGACATCTCTTTCTTTGTACAATACATTTTCTGCTCTCGCTTGTAGCTGGGCAAGGATTGCCCCTTGCTGATGGATGCTGTACGATCTCTCTGACCCTTACTTCATTTCCTCTTTTGAAACCACATGTTTTTCCTTTCTTTGTGCAAGGGCTCCATGGACTCCACTCACTAGCTTCACAGTGCACTGCAATAAACATAGGACAAGCTGAGCCTGGCCAATATCTTTTTGTATACACAATGCATATGGTACATTAATTTTTTTCTGCATCAGCCAAAAGGTGGCAAAAATTAATGGAATTAATCAGGATTTGCAGCAGTGAATTGACAGAAATTGGAATGCTGAAGATATACTGCACAAATAATGTCAAATAATTATGTCAGTTACTATTTTGTAATAGCTGTTTCATATATTCCATTCCTGATACGGAGCAACAACAATAAAATTGGTCTCAATGAAATCAGTTACTGGGGCTTGTTCTGAGGTTGCTTTGGTTTTGTGGAGGTATAAATCCTTGTAGCTTCAGTGGAATTAAACTTTGGTCATGCCTATGTGAAAGGAGAGTGAAGTCACTGGGTCAAGCTGCTGCAGCTGGTCTCAAAGGTATTGAGTTTGGAAATCAATAGAGTTATAAAGGACAACTGATATCAAAAGGCATTACATTAAGGATCAGGTATCTTTGGTGACCTGCTGCTTGGTATTCAGCTTAAATAGTGAAAGAGCCATCATCTGTAGCATATACAAGCTGTAAGTAGGCAAAGCAGATGAGAATTTGGGTCGGGGCGTGCAAGCTTTTCAGAAAAATGTGGGTTACACTTTATAAACCACAGTGATCTGAATGTGCATCCTGTACTTCTGGAAACTCAAAAGGTGTACAGCTGGACACTTGCCCAGACAGTGTAGGCAAAAATATGAGTAACCTTGGAAGCTTAAAAACATGTTCTTAATAACTATTCTTCTTTTGTGCCATGTCCTCAGTATCCTTCTCTTGATAAAAGATAGTAAACATTTATATTTACTTTCTGCTCACATGCGTGTTTAAGACTATAAACTACTGCTGAAGAAGGAAAGACTTCCAGCCCCTCTATAAGGAGGAATTTGTAAGTCAACTTTTTTCCAGCTCCAGAATTAATTTCCAAATTTTCCAAAACCTAAAAATATAACTGACCTCAGGCAATCTCTGAGCTTTCCTCCAGTGAATTGTCATGTGGGTCATTTTGTTTTTCATATTACACTAGAGCTCTCCTGTTAAAATAATTGGCCTTCACGTGCACAAAAAGGTTCTGTTTTTCCTCCGTAGCTTTAAATGGCTTTTCCTAGTTGAGACTGACTCATTGTTAAAGCAGCTAAGTCTACAGCACTTGGAAATAGCCATCAAGAAACAAAAACGATCCCTTGAATTTCTTTCAAAGATGAAAGTCTTTGCTTGAAAATAAAACCATAAAAACCATCACGACCACCTGAACTAATATATATTTGAGCAGGAAAATGCCAAACTACTGTACATTATTTTTATTCCTGCATTACTTCCCCTCCAAAAAACGCAGTGCCAGGGAGAGCTATGTGCATGATACTGTGGGGGAGGAGATTTCCATCATGGCCAGACTGTGCCTAACTACTCCCTGGTTGCTGGTGGCTGAAGAGGTTACCGCTTCCACCGCAGTTAGCAGCCCTCAGCCACCACAATTCACAGCCAGCGTACTAAAATAAGCTGAACCTTGCCGCAGCTTCGGCATGCCCATGGCAGGGGATGTCAACTGCAGCAACCCAGAGGCAAATATATCACTCGTTCTGCTTTCAGCCAGAGGGGTGGCAGAGGGATGGAGCAGACAGTTAGGTGTGGTGACCTCCAAAATTGCCCCAGCGTGAATAATTGGAGCTTGTGAGTCAGAGATACAAAAGCAGGTCTCTTCTCCGCAGCCAGTGAGTCACAGGACCAGTGTCGCCAATCTCATTCCTTCAGTGACAGTGCCACACTATTTGGTGTTTTATTTTAATCCTCAGTTTCTGGAGTCAGGTGACTATGGACATATACCATTTTGGGTTTGGTTTTTTTTTTTCCCTAATGTTTTAGTTTCTAGACTTCACCTTTGTGAAGGTAAGCTTCAAAACGTTGACACATGCATGCTTTGAAGGCTCAGGTAGTACAAGGGAACTAAAGCAAAGCAGTTAGTATTTTAATCTTTCAACTACATGTGGGGTCTGGCTCAGGATTTTTGAACCTTTGATGTTAGCAGTGCTGCATAACACCGTAACAGAGCAAGTTAAGAGATGGATGTCATTCTACCTCAAGGCAGACCAAACAGGCCATATTTCCTGAGGCAGAATTGCCCTTAGCATCAAGGCTGTGTTTGTGGGGCGCAACCGAACTTGTGCCTCTTATGAAATGGCAGACTTGGGAAATACCTTGAGTTTGTTGTGCTGGGATACATCTTGGGATGCAGAACATTTCCATTTTAAGTTGCAATTCCCTGGTGGTGTAACTGATCTTGCAGCTCATGCCCTCCTTAGATCCCTCATCCCCTGTGAGAAAACCAGACAGGACACAGGGGGGCTGGACTTACCGATGCTAGTGCACTCCATCGTGTGATTGTTGGCTTCCAGCCCATCAGGGCACTTTTCAAGGCACTTTCCACTGTACAAGTAAAACCCACTTTTACACTTTGTGCAGAAGTTTCTGGTGAAGCAGGTATCACAGTCAGCTTTACATTCTGAAACGCAAACAGTAAATACCAATGTTGTTGCTCTTTGCCACAAAACACCATGGGGTCTCTCACATATACAAGAATCACACAATTCTAGCAATGATGTTAAACAATCTTCAAAGGAAGCAAGTTATATTTAGATCTTCTTCGTGGCCTGTACCCACAGTGAGGGCAGCCACAAGTGACCTTGGAATGAGTGAGGATTTAATAAGGATGGCCTGATGCTGAACGGCCTCACACTGCTTGTCTTCTTGCAGACCTATGCAAATGGTAGACAGAGCACAGCACATCAGAATAACAATATACTGCTTCTGCCCTACACTGACACAGCATAGGTACTAACTAACCCCACAGGGCACAGGTACCGGGCCAGTTCCACACATTTATATCCATTCATCCAAGAGAAATAAAAACATGCTAGAATTTAGAATCTGCTTAAGATTGGTTTACATCAACCTCTATTTCTTTCTTTTTTAATGACTCCCTCATGTTCAATCAGATGTCCTGTAGTATTTCATGTATTCTCTATATGACTACCCAAATTGGCATCAGTGGTGTATTTCCCAGTTCTCAGATATTTTTAAAAGAAATACATAAAAACTTGTGTATGGCACAGCTCATGTCTGATATGCAAGGCCACACGCTGCTAAAAAGTGAGCAAATAGGTTACAATGTCAAGTTACTCTGTAAGACTTTACTCTGGGGTCCATTCATTAAATAACTTTTATTACCAGGTAAAAAGTGGGAGACTTGCTTGGCCGTCGCTCTTATGTTTTTATATCACCTGCGGGATTAAAAACAGTGAATTCAACAACAAAAAGAGGAGTGGGGAGGACATTGCGATCTTTTCCAGTTCATTTATGGTTCAAAACACATAGTGGGCTCAAAATGTTGCCTGAGCGGTAAAGAATAGAGTTGGGTTCTCTGTCTCCCAGCCTGGAGGCAACAGGAATCGGTAACTTCCCCCAAATCAGGCTGAAACCTGACCAGCTGCTATAGGCATTTAGAGGACTACACTGAGCGTGAGACAAGCTATAAAGAGACCAGGGCAAACCACATCTCCAAGGAATGCCACCTGCCATCTTCTCTCCTTGTCGCAGAGGTCAGGCGGGTAAGGGCAGTGGATTAAATGGCTCCAGCCACCAAGATTCAGCGTCCCTCGGCCCCCACTCTTCAGAGCTGCCGCTGCCGGAGGGCAGTGCCTGGTGCCCACTGGCACTGCCCTTTTGCATGGAGGTGTAGAGGAGGAGACCATCACCTGGGTCCTAGGAAGGTCATTCATGCAGAGCCAGGATCCCTGAGCTTTAGGCAGTTTTGTGATCTTTCACCTTAACTTCTTGCTCGGGTTAATATTTACTGTACTACTATAAAAGAAGTGAACAAATAAAGACACGGCCTGTCCGTCTGCTTCTCTGTTGACTTGACTCCTAAGGGGACACAGCATTCAAAAGAGAACAAACAAATCCATGCGCTTCCCCTTTCCCCAGCACTTACTTGCACACTTATTAATGTCGGGATACCGTGTCCCATAGTATCCGCTTGGACACGAGGAAAGACATACTCCGATCTGTTTCATACCAATCCTCTCCAGAACAAAAAACAGCCTGGGCTTACATGACAGGCATCCGTTGTAGTCAGAACATGTAGCACACCCTCCTTGGCAACCCTGGCTCACGTTAGGATGCACTGAGAAAACAAGCATTAAAAAAAAAAAAAAAAAAAGGTGAGAGAACAAGATGTTAGACAAGACCGTGAAATAATGGTTCCTCTGTACTTGGAAGGGTGGACCATCCACCTCTCTAAGAGCTTAAAGATTACTTAAATTTTTCTTGTGTCTCTTATGACCTGACATTTCATTTCAGCCATTATTTCATCCGCATAAAAAAAGAAGCCCAGCTGATGTGCTCACATCTTGCAGAAATAGCTAACAGCAAATTATATTTGAAATAGATTTTATGGAACAGCAGCATCCTAGAGAACAGTTATTTTTCTTTTAGCTATTTTCAGTGGCTTTTCTGCCTTGTATGCATTTGGCTCAGCAGATAAATACATGTTCACTTACCTTTGCTTTTCCTAGCTGGATGATTAAAAATCAACCTAGTGTATAATTTCCTTCATTGACTAAATGCCATTTGATTGAGTTCTGCTGTGCAGGAATATGCCCTTGTAAGATCTGCTGCTAATTTGCCTTAATAAAAAGACACAGGAGAGCCATCCTTCTCACCCTCCTTCTTTCCCTGGAATGTTCTCTCTGGCATGTTTTTAATCTCTAACAATTACAACCTGATGTTCAGACTTAACTGTGGCATTTACCCTGCTCGAGTCCCAGCATGGAGCACAGGTAGGATTATATTTGCCTTTCAATTGAATTGTTCTAATTCTTCAGACAAGGAAAGGAAAACTTATTACACTCACTGCTTAAGACTACTCAGTTCTTCTTTAGGGGCTTGGGGGTAGCAGAAAAGAGGATGCTATTGCAGACTGTCTTTTCAGTAGCAGATGTTAATCAGTGTATTACTTCTCAGTGGTAGAGAATAATGTTTGCATCTTCCTGTACTTTAGAAGTTGTTACCTACTTTTAATTCCTTTTTGGTTGCATTCTTCAATAGGAGTTGGATCTGAAAAATAATTAAGCATCAAATAGCTCCAGAGCCTGTGTCCCCTCTTTTTTGGCCTTGTCTTGTATGAAAAACTCAGGCATTTTTCTAAGTGTAAGCTATATTTCATATGTATATTTCATATTTCATATTTCATTTCTATATTTCATATGTAAGAGAAATTCAGTCCTCGTTTACATTTGTAAATCCTGCTTGTAAATACTATTGCCTTCCTGTTCTGCCTTCTCCTCGGGCCAGTGATAATTTTATAAATATGCACATGCCATACTTTGATTGCCTATTTTAGTGTTTTGATTTTATTTTTATCTGCAGACACTGCTAAATAGCTTGCATACAGAATGAGCTTGCTTTTGTCAGCTCCCTTCTGTGGATCTCTTGGAGGCAGACCAGAAACCCATGTGAATCCATGGCTTACAGGTTGAAAACCACCACTCTGCTAGCTCAGGGGAGTTTGGCTGATGGCAGGGAAGTTCAGGAATACCTCTGTACTTTGTTCACTTACAGTTTTGGCAGGAGAGACATGGCCCATGAATGGGAAAAGCACTCCTCTAATCTCTGAGGTTTTGATGACCAGTCCCGCAATCTGAGAAACCTCAAAGGGAGCTCAAGTTCACTTTTCCTCTTTCATTAATAGAATGAGGAATGAGGATTATTTCTCTCAGTAGGGCTGAACACGCAGGAGAAGAGCAAACTTTGGCCCTGCTGCGGACAAACAACTTCAATGAGAGTGTACGAACCCAATTCTCTGTGCCCCCTGAGGCATTCACTTTGTAGAACAACCTGGAGGAAAGTGTTTTTACCACCAGGACACACAACTATTATGAGAATAAACAGCATTCTGTATAGTGAGAAGCTGCAACCCCAATTCAGTTATCGGACTTTCTTTCACTAGACTTTCAAAATACTGAGTGCTCAACAAGTATAGCATACTTTTTTTCTGAGAAGATTCCAAAGATACAGAGTATACTGATTTTGAAATTAAGAGCCTGAAAAACTGGCTTTCTTTTTAAAGTTAAGTAAGTGCAAATGTCCTTGTGTCTCCCTCCCCTGTCTTGTGGCTCTTGTATGAAGCTGCTTTCAAAGGCAGACACAGTAACGTGATCTAAGAAGCTGACATTATTTAAAAACTATCCGTGACTTTCCTTCATTAACTCTGACAGAGGGAAGAAAAAGCAGCTGAAGTACAAAATATTTGTCATCAAAGCTGCTATATAAAATATGGATGATCACTTTTGGTGGGAAACATATTACATGTGAGCACCTGTGACACGTCATTACGAATAGATTCTCTTGACAGAGAAAACATTATCTGCAACTGCTTTTAGGTCAAGCTCTGTGTGTGAGCCCTTGAGACAGGCAATACTTTATTACCGAAAGATGATAATTCTCTATAGCTAAGATCCATTACATGGCCAATTTCCATGTCCCCTTTAACTCCAGAAGTATTAAGTGTAAAATAAAATATACTCCTAGCCATTTTCACAATTTCTGCCTCCTTTCATGTGTCCCAGATAAATCTCATACAAATAAGACAGCAAAAAAGGAAAGTCTGTAGTTCCAAATGGAGAATCATATTGTTAGTATTACAGAGCAAGGAATAAGTTAAAATGTGTAAGTCAAGCTCCATTTACAGGTTGATTTCATGCCATGTTATAACTCAACATGTGAAGCAAAACAAGCTCCTGTTCTTGGAAATGCATAGAACAAAAGTCTCATTGAAAAGTCAGAATTGACATTTTAAATGAAGACAGACTTTTTTTCTCTTGAAAGCTATTAAAGGGATCCTTTTTTGATTGTCCCCTATTGTGCCTGGCATTTCTTTGAGCCCTGTATCTGTGTAATGAAGCTGTCTCTCATTTTGCTTGCTCTGAATGCTGGGTAGACCCTTAATCTGGTTCAGGCAAGAAGCAAAGCAGGGACAATTGAGTGCTCCAGAAACTGGTACTGTTTGAAAGCACAACACTGGGCTTTGTCATTGAACCTGGGAGAAAATAAATGGTGGAGGAAAAATATTTGTGTCTAGAAAATGAGATAGCATGTTTGAAATAAGGCATCTCCAAGCTCCAGCTGAAGATCTCATTCATGTTACCTTTCAGCCTCCTCCCTCTCTAGTTGAGATCCAGGCACTTGCCTGATCCCTGCAATGTAGGGGCTGGTCCCTCCCCTCCAATGGAGGCCAAGTGGGGTCGAAGGGATTCCAGGAGGAAACAGGGCAAACTCAGTCTCTGAAACATCTTTCTGCCACAGGGAGGGAACTTAACCACTGCTGGGTACAGAACTGGCCCTTACTAGTCCTCTCTCATTGCAGCAAGGTGCTAGTGCCTGCAGATCTCAAGCACTTCAGCAACTGCACACCATAACCGTGAGGAAACAACCAGAAGTTTTACCTGGTTTTCCCCCATATCAGACACTGTGAGCTCAGAGTTTAAGTGATGTGCCACAACAAGCTGGGAACATAAACCACATCTGGTGAAATCCGGCCACGGTACACCTGGTGTAAGCATTGCTTCAAATTTCTATACTTAGGTCAACAGTAAAAATGGGTAAGTAATATATATCCACTTTAAGAAATGCTTTGAAGTCTACAGGTGAAAAAACACTGCTCCTGTTAGTTACAAGTTTTAGATGTGGTAAATGGGGCAGAGAGACGTCCAGTCTTTTGGCAGAGGGGCAGGTGCTGTGGCCTCATGGGTTAGGCACTGGCTGCAGAACCAGGAGGTCTGGGCTTTAGCATTGCAAATAGGTCCAAGGAATGCTCTTGCTTGTAACCACTTGGTCTTTGGTGCAACGTGCTCCATTATAAGACAAATAAAATGAAATACAAAAAATTCTCCACAACCCTCAGAACTGACTTTGATGAGGATAAAGTATTCTATGCATAGGCTGTTAGGAGCAGTATCTGCCATTAGAGGTGACCCCACCAGCCATTGAGCAGTCTTCCTTCTTGTGTTCAAACACTCTGAGCACAGTGAAATCCTAGAATCTCAAGGATGGAAAATACAACACAGCAATGGGCAAAGCAAGTGGTGGGAGCACAGAGACCCACAGACAAGTTCTTCCTCATCTCTTACACAAGCGTCAGTCAGGCCTGCTGACTCATCAAGTACAAAGGATGTATGTGCAGGCTCGTGACTGGCTTTAGGTCCAGAATCCATCCCTCCATATTTCTTTTTATAAAACCTAAGTACTGGAGATCAGAGAAGACACTAAGTTAATCTCAAACTATTCTCTTCCCTTGCCTGTCTTTAAGCCATTTTTGGCTTGCAGACTTTTTTTTTGTGCAAACTGTTTGTCCAGATATTAGTTTTAAGCCTCATTAGCAAATGAAATCACTGGGGATTTTCCTTTCTCAGAATATTTTCCAAAGCCCTGCTCTGGAAACAATGAGTTGTGGTCTCTCTGTTAAAAATAGAAAGTTAAGGACAAGGAGCTGAATTTGAATCTGAACTTTCAGTGATAGGAGATTTTGATGGCATACAGCAAATAAATTCTAAAACCTTTGCAATGAAATTTTTCTAACAGTTTTACTTTATATAGATTAAAATTTATAGGATCAAAAAAAGAAAATAAGAAAATGCAGGAGGAATCCAGGTGGGCATATGTTCTGACAGCCAGGGGAAAAGCTTGGAATAGAAGAATATTCTTTGCCCATTTGCTGCAGCTGAGGTGCACTATCTCATCACCAATCTTCAACAACAAGAAATCAATTTAGAGGCTCACTCTTGAAATAGATGTGCTAGGCAAATGAAATCCATCCCTGCCAAAGAGCTGCTGCTACTCCTGCTTTCTTGGGCTTGCGCGTTCTCATAGGAATTGTTTTCACAGCAGAGCTGCTCTGGAATTCAGCCTCCCCGGCTGGGCTGCCCCTCGCTGCGAGACCCAGGTCCTGCCTCAGCTTTACCCACCACACGGCACCTGTGTGGGCACTAGCCCTTGGGGCGGTGGGGATTTGGGACAGGATACCCATGAGTTCTCCTGTCGCTTAATCACTCCATGCATTCACTGGTGTTCATTTTTCTCTCTCTTGCCTAGTGCAAAGCAGCTGCCTGTGGCAGTGGCCTGAAAACA